TCACCAAATACCAGCAAAATGCAGCTCTCTCTTTCAATTTCAATTCTAAAGTCATCTAAATGCACATTTAAGTGTTTATTTCATTGCACTTTATCTGTTTGCGTCTGTAGATTTCAATTCATATCTTTAATCAACCAATCCATATTTTTTAAAATGTGTTTCTCCACTTCAGCAGCACTGACATACACCAAAACTTAGAGTTTTATTCCTCTCTATATTCTGAAGGTTTTTACTGAGGGGTTTGTTCATATTTCGTTCACACCGATTTATACAACATTTTATTCCTAAAAACACGGTGAAAATGTTTTCTGTCTGTTGACAGTATTTTCGGATTTATGGAGTGATAAAAAGAGAATCTGTTAAAACCTTTAACGGTAGTATATCAACAAAATCAAACAAGGACTTTTGAACCGTATTATACAATGATAATGAATCATTTGTATATTTAAACAACATTTGATTTGTATATTTAAACAGCTTGTAATGCAAAATGTAATAATGCATCATGATTTGTCAGCTGGGGAAGTATATATTAGTTTAAGAGTTTACTCTATTCACCTTTGCTATCTTGCCTTTGGTTAAAACCAAAAACTGTTTTGATGTGGTTTGCGTCTGCAGCCGGTCCAGCCGCAGTACTACTACGGCAGTAATTTTGGCTACATCATCGCCTTCAAGCCTCATAACGACCCCGAGTGGATGAGGGTGACAGTGACCGATCCACAGGCCCAAAAGTACGTCCACAAAGACTTGAAAATCCCCCCGTCCACCAGGTTTGAGGTGAAGATGAAGGCCTTTAACAGTCAGGGTGAAGGGCCGTTCAGCGTCAGCGCCTTCATCTACTCCGCTCAGGACGGTGGGTGACGCACGCCTGCAGATTTACAGAATTAAACCCCGTGAACTAGTGACCTTACAGACGTGTGTTTCCATCTCAGTTCCTGCAGAAGCTCCCACCATCATCGAGGCGAGGACGCTGTCGGCCACAGAAGCCGTCGTGTCCTGGGTGCCTCTACAGCTGCAGACGGTTGAAGGATACCAGGTGACAAAGCACTAGTTCACTGTTAAACTCAGAACTATCACACGTCTCAAATTCACTTGCTGATGTACTTCCTCTTGTTTAAAGTTGTTCATTTAGCAGCTGGGTTATTATTGTGAACTTGCTTCTCATTACTTGCAATACACTGTAACTGAAGTAAATTACAATATATACAGCAAACATTTCAATGAATAAAATTCCTAAAATAACAAACTAAAAATGAATATTGATTTAAAAATAAAAAATAAAAAAACACTTAAAATATAGAAATGTAGGAAGAAAATGAAGTGATTTCCAAAGTCTGGCGATAATCTTTAAAGAGGAATAAGTGGGGCGGGGGGTTGCTTTTAGCCAATATTTATTGTGCAAAGATAATATTTTATTATATAAATTTTTGTTATTATACAGACATAGTCAACTAAAACTAAAACCAAAAACATTTTTCTTAATTCTAATAAAATATCAAAAACTTAAACTTTTTATTTCATCTTAGTTGCCAAGGCAACATTTCTCATTTTCATTTAGTTTGTACTTGATGTACTAAAATAACTCAAACTAAGTGAACTAAAACTAATACATAAACATTAATAAAAACTATACTGACATTTAAATAAAATGTAAACTAGTTTAAAGACATAAAACAACAGAATTACTAAAATTTCAACTAAAGAGAAAATGGAAAATTTAAAAATAAAACCCAATTTAAAATATGAATACAAACTATAATAGTAAGTTAATTTCTGGCCTGTTGTCTCTCAGGTCCGGTACTGGAGGGAGTCGGTGGAGAACGAGGCGTCCGCACAGCGTGTTCTGGTTCCCAGTCGAGAAAACCACACGCGTCTGGACAACATGAAGCCCAACTCGCATTACCTGATCGATGTGCGGGCGTATAACGGCGCCGGATACGGACCCGCCAGCCAGCGCCACAAAATCTACACCAAGAGAGCGCGTAAGTCCCATAGGAGCCAGAACACAGGCTTTCAAACTGGTGTGTTTTAGGACACTTTTTACTGTGTGAGGGAAAAAATAAATACATGTTATGTTAAAAATAAATAATTGGCATTTATGTTTTTGCTATTTTCTGATCTGATTGTGTTTTTCTCAGCTCCTAGTCAGCCTCCTAAAATTGTCGGCACAAAGATGAACTACAGCGGCACGACGATCAACATCGCCTGGGAGCAGGTGGAGCCGCTGGCCAACGAGTCGACGGTGGAGGGATATAAGGTCAGAAAAACACCTTTACCTGCTGCTCAGTGTCTCTGAATCTGATTTAGTGCGTTTGTCTTACTGGACTCATGGAGTTTTCTCTCTGGCTTTTAACATGTGCCTTTGAATTGTTTTAATCTGCTTTTGTTTTTATTTGTTTACTGATTTTCTCCTCGTTATATATCATTGTTTGTTGTGCAGCACTTTGGGCGGCCTTGTTTCGTGCTTAAATGTGCTCTAGAAATAAAACTGAACTTGAACTCGAGTTAAAATTGAACATGCATATGAATACCTAATTAAATATGAGCTGAAGCATGAGCATTTATATGTAATTGTTTAAGAGGTACGACTCAAAGCCTGCAGAAATATGAGGTTTTGGATGGGTTTTCTGTCTCTGTCTCCCTCTGCTGGGTTTGGGTTTCACTCAGTTCTGTTCTGAATGAACATAATCCTGGTATAAGTAACCACACCATAATAAATAGTTCAGATAGCAAACAAGTAGATGCTTGATTATTTAAAGTATTGTGACTCCATCAAATTTAGAAACATGACAATTATAATATTTACATTTAGATTTACAATTATGTTATTGTCTTTTTAGTATTTTTCTTGGCAATAATACACAAATAACATATAAACAATGACATGACAATACAATATATAAACACAATTTATAAAATAAAGCTACATTTAGAATATAAATTAAAACAGACTTTCAAACACAATATTCTGCTAGACAAATTTCTGGTTATTCATTTTGCAGATGCTTTTTATGCAAAGTAACTTACAAATGAGGAAACTCAAAAGCAGTTTTTTGTGCTATTTAGCGGTCAAGCTCCTTATATAATCATTAATTTTCTTAATTTCTCCCTGGGAGTCTGTGGGAGCCCATAAAACCCCTTGCAGGAAACTTATGACGTCTGGCACACAGATAGTGGACAGTATCAACATTAACCACAGCACATTTGGAGCCTCTAACTCAAACCCTTTAGCGCCACCAACATCTCAAATTTGCACTCATGTTTATGCTAATAACTAGAAGTAGAGTTAGAAGTAGAGTTAGAAACTCCACTTTTTCTAACTCATCTTAGACAGTTCATCTGAATTTCACCAAACCTGGTTCAGATCATCTTCAGACATTTTTGGAAATGAGTTTTTAAAAGATTTTTGACAGACCCAGTGCTTCTCTTATAGCGCAAATACAAATAACAAATTTGGCAAAAGAGGACACCAAAATGGACATGAGGCTATATCTCCGCAACACTTTATCGTAGTCAGACCAACTTTGGTACGTGCTATAATAACCAAGACCTGAGGATTCATGAGCAGTTTCAGCACAGCGCCACCTACTGGTCAAGAGATATGAATAATTGACATTTTGACCTATAACTTCTGAACAGTTTGGCCAAAACACTCAAGTTTGGGCTCTTTTGATTCAGAGTAATGACAAAAACACACAAGCCAAGTCAAGTCACCTTTATAGTGCTTTATACAAAGACAATAGTGCATCATCCAGGTTTAATCAGTTCACGTTTTGTTCTCAACCGATGGCGTCAGTCAGTGCGGTCATATCGATAAATGACTGAAAGTTACGTGTCTTTCAGATCCAAACTAATCAAGCCAAAATATATTACTAAAGCCACTAATGTGTGTCATTGAGTAAAATCAGAGCGTTTTGTGATGTTTTTTGCAGGTGCGGCCGCTCTGGCGTCTCCGTCTCTCGGCTTCTTCTCGCTTCTCCTCACGGTTCTGTTGAGTTTGATTCTCTGAATGTAGTTTCATCCTGATTCAATGAAGCTGAACTCTCGCAGGATGAAACCCACCAATATTCAGAGCCCACGCGGCTCTGGAGAACAAAAGACTGGAGATTCAGGGCAGAGCGTGTGTTTAATGTCTGAACCGTTCAATATGCCTTACAACATCTCACACTCTGATCTCTTACTGAGCGCTGATTGGTCCAAACGGAGCGGAAACAGGAAGTGTTGTCGTGAGACTTCCTGTGTCTTTTGGTGACCGATCAGCGTCTCACGTTTGTCTTTATGTCATTGTCAGATCAGTGGCTTTCTCTTACTTCTGTGGATGGATACAGTCAAAGCAAACCAACAATTCACATTCAACTCCATTCACTTTTAGAGGATTATTATATATGCAATAATTTATAAGACATTCGTCTATTCAACACTGCATCTGTTTTTTATATGAGCATATCTGTGGTATATTTTTGTTTTTAAATTAGGATATCATTTTAATATCTGTATTGGGTTCATGTGAGGAACATCAGCGGCTGAATGAAAACGGACGTTTGTGTTTGGGTTTGTGTTCGTTTATGAGCTTCAGTCTCAGAAATGTTATGAAATATGATCAGCTGATGTAGACGAACAAATACTGCGAATGCATTTGTGTTTTAGTGCGATTTAATATGATTTCTCACTGAACACATCCAAGTGAACACCAGAGCTGGGTAGTAACTGATTACATGTAATCTGGATTACGTAATCGGATTCCAAACATTTAGTACTTGTAGTTAGATGATATTACATATTAAAATGTTCGTAATCAGATTACAGTTACTTTTTTATAGATTACATGATTACAGATTATTCACACTATGGCATTAAATTATTTAGAATTGAGTTATTGTCATATGTATGAGATGAATAATTACGCAAGTTACTAAACACTGCCGATATATAGCTGACATAAATATTTCAAACCTGGAAGACTTTGTCCATGTCATTGCTTTTTCATGTTTATTAGTGTTTTTAACGCATCTGCATATTTTCTTGAAGTCCCCCTGAGATTTATAGTTTATTTCAAATAATTTAACAACATATTTGCATGTACTTTGATGTCGGTTAATCGTCATATATTTTTCCCATTTAAAGCTGTAAAAAATGTCAAAAGTAACGCTAAAGTAGTCCAAATACATCACCTGAACTGTGTATTCTAGATGACATTAATGCTACAATTTTGTAATCAGTAACAGACTCGAGTTTGTAAGTAATCTAGCCAGCACTGGTGAACACAGAGTTATTAATGCATCAGATTCAGTTACATGGTGAAAGTTTCATAAACATTAATTACATTTGTTAATAACCACATAACAAACGATTCTCGAGCACAAACCGCTTTTGTTTTGACTGTATCATTCAGATCTGTGTGTCATTGGCAGGTGATTTGTGATGAATGTCATTTAACGTTTTTATTTTTATAATAATGTTTGTTGCAGTCGCTAACTTTAAATGATGATATTCACACGGTTTCATATTGGAGTGTTTGCTCAAATATATGATTTATATTCGGTTAACTCATGCTCCTTTATAAACAGATCATATGCTCTGCCATTCATCTGATGATCTGTAGATTTAGTTTTATTGATCAGGATTTGAAGGTTTTACTCGTCTTTGAGAAACTCCATCAGGATCAGATTGTTTGTAATGAAGCGGAGCAGTGAATTGATGTGATTTCACGTGTCAAGCTGAAGTTTCTCCTCATTTAAACTACCACTAAGTGCTTTTGCTCCTGATGTTCGTCTGCGTGAGAGAGTTTTGCCAAATGCATGGATGCTTGAGCTTTAGCGGCCTGCAGTTATTCAGAGGCCTGCTGCATGATGGGATTGAATGGACTGATCGTCATACTCGCTGGTTCAGTTCAACAACAGGTCAGACTCTGTAACTAGACTAACCTGTCAGTTATTACCTGCTTCATTCAACTCTGTCTTCAATTAAACTTTATAGAGACCAAACAAACAAACTCGTCTGCTGTGTGTTTCTTCACGTCTGCTTCATGTGCTCGTCTCTTGCATCTTCATCTTTATATTTCCAGCTCTATAACAGTATGGCCTGCATTCTAGATGATACATTTACAAATATTTAGCATTAGAAATTGAAACGTGTGAGGAAATTAATAACAGAGTAAAATAGCTCCCATGGTTATAAATCCAAACTATAATAAAACTATAAACAGAGGCTTATCTTTCTGAAAGAGAGTGAGATTAAATGGAAGATATTTGCAGAAATATGGAACTTGATAACATTTAATGAACAATTTGTGTGTAGAAGTTCAGTAAAGACTGTTTGAGCTGCTGTAGAAGCTACAAAATACCATAGAAAATTAAGTTTCAATATCTGTTTCGTTCAAAGTCAAAACAAAAGCTGCAAATAGAGTCAGATGTGATTCCAGCAGGAGAATCCAGCACATTTGTCCCGTCAGTTAGTAACATAATCTAAGTTACACATTTTAGGTAATGTAGTCTGACTACTTTTTAAAATACTTTTTAACCAACTTGTTTTAAACTTTTCATTAAATGTAACATATTGATCATCACATGCCATTTATTGATATCTACATCAGTAAATGCATTAAACCCAGATTGGGGAACCTTGGTGTAGTGTTTAATGTAAGAACTGCAGTGGGTTTGTGAGTTGATAAAAGGCTAATAATTTAATTAATCAAAATAATTTGAGTGCTTGAGCACTAAAAATAAAAATATTGTATTTGTTTACCTGCATGTCAATGTGATTATCAATCAACATCAAAGAACTGTAAACATGCCAAATGTTAAATTATTAGAATAACGTCCTCAGAGATATTTCAAGTACATATTATATTTTAAGGAGTTTGGTGACATAAACGTCTGGGAATTTCTGAATTACACGAACAAACATAATCATTAAAACTGCAATGATATTACAAAGTCTTCCAGGTCTGAACTATTTTAGTCAGGAATCAACAGTTACTGAAGTTTCACAGCTCTACAACACCAGTGTTTAGTCACTTGAGTAATTATTTCTTTCAGTAATTGGTTTGCAGATTTATTTACATGACTTATAAATATAGTTCAAGCTGAATGCTATGACACACAGTATGGTTTTTAGAAAGGACAATTTACAAGAGAAAACAAAGATTAGGGCAAATCAATAAAGTATGCATAATTTACTGCCATTGTGTGAATACTCACTTTTATTCAAATCAAGTCATCTTTATTTATATAGGGCTTTATACAATACTGATTGTCAAAGCAGCTTTACAGAGTCAAACAGGAAAATAACAGCTAAAGTCATCATCCAGGTCTGATCTCTTCCAATAGTGACGTAACATGTGGCCAAGTATGGTGACCCATACTCGGAATTAGTGCTCTGCATTTACCCATCCAAAGTGCACACACACAGCAGTGAACACACACAAACCGTGAACACACACCCGGAGCAGTGGGCAGCCATTTATGCTGCGGCGCCCGGGGAGCAGTTGGGGGTTCGGTGCCTTGCTCAAGGGCACCTCAGTCGTGGTATTGAAGGTGGGAGAGAGCGCTGTACATTCACTCCCCCCACCTACAATCCCTGCCGGTACGAGACTCGAACCCACAACCTTTGGGTTATGAGTCCGACTCTCTAACCATTAGGCCACGACTTCCCCAATAGTGTCTGTGCAATCAGTCAAGTGTCCCCAACTAAGCAAGCCAGAGGCGACAGCGGCAAGGAACCAAAACTCCATCGGTGACAGAATGGAGAAAAAACCTTGGGAGAAACCAGGCTCAGTCGGGGGGCCAGTTCTCCTCTGACCAGACGAACCAGCAGTTCAGTTCCAGGCTGCAGCAAAGTCAGATTGTGCAGAGGACTCGACTGGCTCCTGTGGTCTTGTCCCGGTGGCCGTCTAGGAGGCCTTCAAACTCAGTTCCTGGAGAGCCACAGCTCTGCACAGTTTAGCTTCAACCTTAATCAAACACACCTGATCCAGCTAATCAAGGTCTTCAGGATTACTAGAAACTTCCAAGCAGGTGTAAGTTGGAGCTGGTTGGAGCTAAACTCTGCAGAGCTGCGGCCCTCCAGGAATTAAGATTGTGATCTCTGTTCTAGGTATTATGAGATCGCAGCAGACGTGAAGGTCTATAATGTGATAAGAGCCCAATGTGTAGTGAGCCAGGATCCTCACTAGTGACTGAATCGGAGTACACAATATACTGATTCAGTCAAGAGCTGCAGCCCAGGAAAAATATTGCATTTATTCATGTGGTCCACACTGACCCTAAAACAAAAGCCAAACTAAATTCATTTAGGCAAGGCAAGTTTATTTATATAGCACATTTCATACACAATGGTAATTCAAAGTGCTTTACATAAAATAAATTAAAATGTAATAAAAAAAATAATCACAACAATAAAACAAGGAATTTAAAACTTTGAAAATGATTTTAAAAAATATATTTAAGAGGTTTAAAATGAATTTAAAACGGTTAAGAATAGAACATGATTATACATAAAATATAATGCAATCAGTTCGGACATCGCACAGTGTTCATTCAGTAAATGCACAGCTAAACAGATGAGTTTTGAGTCTGCATTTAAATGTAACTAATGTTTTAGCACATCTGATCTCTTCTAGAAGCGGCATAATAATTAAAAGCAGACTCCCCTTGTTTTGTGTGAACACTTGGTATTTCTAACTGACTCGATCCTAATGATCTGAGTGGTCTGTTAGGTTTATATTCAGTGAGCATATCTGCTATATATTTAGGTCCTAGGCCATTGGGTGATTTATAAACGAGTAAAAGTGTTTTAAAATCAATATGCGTTCACCACTTCTAAGAGATCTGCTTCCAAACAGTTAAGCACACTTTTGAAGACATATGTGGGAAGTGTGTCAAGATGGCAGGTTGACGATTTAAGGTGCTGTACTATTTCTTCCAAAATTTTGCTATCAATTTCTTTAAAAGCAGACATAGTATCTTCTTTTTGATATTGCGGTCG